CCTTTATTATAACGATTGTGCTATACTGCTTTAATAAAGATTACTTTTATTTAATATTTCTAATAATCTGTAAGCATTGATAATATTTTCAATATTTCATAAATTAATAAACTGAGTCAAGGATGGGCTGGGTAATTTGTGTGGGGGCAGCCACTCAGGAAAAAGCAGAGCTGCGTGGTGGCCTGCACTGATGCTGTCCATAACACAGAGCTCCCTCCCTTGCCACAGTGCATGTGTTCCCACTGGCATAATGAGAGTCACAATCCATCTACTAAATGTTAATATTTTTTATGCAAGGAGGAAGCTTGGGATATGCCTGGTTGTTCACATACTATGAATTACACATGTGTAGAGAGTGAATGGATAGACAACAGGGGAGTGTCACCTTGGCACAACCCAGAAGTGGGGGTATTAGGACACTGTGGAGCTAAGTGAACAAAGGCAGAGACTTTGAGTGTTCGCGCTATAGTACAACCATGAGGGAGAGCATACTTTCTCATAAACTGCTACAATCTTTCTTGAGTATGCATAATGTATATTATGTATATATATGTCCAAATAACACACACACACACACACATGCAGGAAGGTTTGCTTATTAATAATAAAGTAGTTAACTGCCTAGAAATGTTGTCCCCAGCTATAAGGACTGTAGAAGTCTGGACTGATTCAGAGAATCATACTAGGAAGTGCTGCCCATATGCAGACAGGATTTCACCCAAGTGACTTTTCTGTTGCAGCCACACACAGTTGAGAGGGGTGGTGGTTAAAGTGGTACAACGTAATCCTGGTCAGTTGATTCTCTATCCGCCTCCTCTGTCTAGCTGAAATGACAAAATGTCATGTAGCATGCCTTCTTTCGTATGACCCACACTGACAACTGACCTGGGGTTACTTTTTACTAGTTCTGACTCTGTTGAGAAAAATCATCTCATTTATCTCAGACTAGAAGTTGAAGGTCCTCAGTAAAACAGATACCAACCGTATTTTCTAAGATCTTCCTTTAATCTTTCATTCCATTTCGCATGAAGGAGTGAGGCTTTCACACAGTGTTGACTGCAACAGTGAGCTTGCTAATGGATTCTGTCATCGCTGATTACTGTACTTGGCCTGAAGCTGAAGTGGTGTGGAGTACTTCAGAAGTAGTTCTCTCATCAGGGTCTCCCAGACTGAAAACGGAAGACAGAAAAGAGTGGCTACTGAATCAGGGGCATTCAGCTTCCCTATTCCGTTCATTCTGAGGTAGAGGAGTTAAAACCCTATCAGCAACTATGACTTCTTAAGGGACTTATTGGCAGGCTTGCCAGTTCAATGTTACTCATAGAATTCCCATGCTGAGTTTGGGTGGGAGTCATCCAGCCACTGCACATAGATAGACATATCTGGCTAATTTATAAACATGCTAGCAAAATGGATGAGTAGGCATTCCAGGGTCATTTTTTTCACAGCCCCTACCCAGTTTCAACACCTACAGACAATAATAGTGACCAGCACAATCAAGACACAACAGTGGAACTTGGATTAACCAACCACTGTTGAATAGGACATAAAGCCTACTCAGCAGGAGTGAATTTATGCCTGGTAGTGTAAACCTAGCCAACTGCTTGTGGCTGGTGAGGTCATGGATCCTAGTATAGACCCCACTACTGCTATTTTCCTAAACTCGTATAATTCCCAACTGCATAAGCCACTAGTTAGCTATACACCTAGTTAAGAGCTTAGTCACTAGTTAGCCACACACACACACACTAAGCCACTAGTTAGTCATAGAGGCCAGGCAGTGGTGGCACACACCTTTAATCCCAGCAGCCAAGCTAGTTAGCCATAGAAGCTGGGCGGTTGTGGTGCATGCCTTTAATCCCAGCACTAGAGAGGAATATAAGACAGGAGCTCAGGGTCTCAGTGTAGTTAGTCTGCAGTCTCGGTGAGTCTGAGGAGCAGTGCAGTTTAGAGATACAATCAGACAACACGATTGCCCCTTCTGTCTGAGCATTGGTAGAGGTGAGACCTCTATAGTGGCTGGATGCTTTGCTTATCTGATCTTCAACTTTGGGGAGGAACCCAGATGGGTTATCCAATCCAAGTTATCTGCCCTAAACACACATACATACAAACAACACTAAATCCTCAGCAACAGGTATGAATATATACATATATATATATATATTACGAGTATATGTTGTGTAAATATGTATATGAGCACAGCAATAATAAAGAAGCATAGGTCATGACAGGGAGTCAATGAGCAAGGAAAGTCTTGAAGAAGGGAGAAGCAGGAGTGGAAATGATGTAAATACAGAACTCAAGTATGACATTCTCAAAAAAAAACCTGTTTACAAATATTTAATATTTTGGTCATTAGAGGAAAGGAAATAAAAATAATGAGATACCACTACATACCAGTTAGCATGACGGAAATCCTCAACAGTGACCACCAATGCTAAGGAGGTGTGGAGCAACAAGAACTGTCACTCATAGTCGTCGTCGTCATCATCATCATCATCATCATCATCATCATCATCTCTCTCTCTCTTTCTGTGTGTATGTGTGTACATGAATATATATATGACTAGAGGCCAGCCTGGTCTACACAGTGAGAACCTGTCTCACAAACACCAACAAGCTCCCTCTCTTCCTCCAAATCCAATCCCCCAGCCTCGTTCCCAGCTCTGCAGCACAACACCCATGGCAGCCTTCCCTGCCCTCCCACAAATACTCTCTTTTTAATCTTCCTCTCTCAGCTTGATGTTTTGTCCCAGACCCCAACTCCAGCTGTCACCCTCCTGTTAACCTAAGGGCCATCCCTCTCAGGGCAGCAAGTGGACTCGAGGCAGACCCACACCTCCCCTACTGCACCTGAGAGCCAATCCCCCCAGTCTCATCCCCAGCTCTGTAGACCTGCGGTGATCTCCTTTCTTCTCTGACCCCATTGCCAAAATTCACAGAAGACCTTTCCCTCTGTCTTGGTTAGGGTTTCTAATGCTGTGAAGAGACACCATGACCATGACAACGCTTATAAAGAAAACATTTGATTGTGGTGGCTCGCTTACAGTTCCGAGGTTTAGTCCCTTATCGTCATGGTGGGGAGCAAAGCAGCATGCAGGCAGACATTGCGCTGGAGCTGAGAGTCCATACACCTTGATCTAGGAAGTGAACAGTCTCACTGGGCATAGCTTGAGCATATAGGAGACCTCAAAGCCTGCCCTCACAGCGACATACTTCCTTCAGCAAGACCACAACTCCTAATAGTGCCACTCCATTTGGGGGCCGTATTTTTCACACCACCTTGCCCTCCCACCTTTCCAGCTTCCAACACCAGGCATATCCTATGAACACAGCAGCTGAGCAGGCCAGTGAAACAGGCAATCACACTGTCTAAAAATCCATAGAAGAAACAGAAACCAAAGAATAACCCCCCCCAACAAAGACAAATCCAGAAATCAGCACCTAGACCTATAATTACCCCAAGCCCAGATGCCTAGATGCCAACATAAAAACACAATCAATAACAACAGTCAGGGCAGTATGTCTCTACTAGATCCCAGCAATCCTACCACAGCAGGCCCTAAATATTCCAACATAATTGAAGCATAATAAAAATATGTTTAAACAGCCATTATGAATATTGATGTGATAGAGGTCTTTCCAGAGGAAATTAATAAATCCCTTAAAGAAATCCAGAGAGATACAAAGAAACAGTAGAAGGAAATGAATAATACTCTTCAAGACCTGAAATAGGAAGTAGAATCACTAAAGAAAACCCAAACTGAGGGAATGCTGGACATGATAAATTTAGGGTTTCAAACATGAACTACAGAGGCAAGCTTCACCAACAGAATACAAGAGATAAAAGAGAGAATTCCCAGCTTTATCTTTATGTGGAGGTGAGGTATTGTTTATCCTAAAACAAAATAGTATCCTAGTGTCCTGACTCTGGCCTTTTGTCTGAGGTGGGTTTGTGCTTGTTTGGCTACGATTTCAGTAAAGCCTTGTTAAAGCCTGGTCTTTAACCAGATGATCAGTAGACTTATCAGTTTTTCTCTCTGGGGTTCGGGTCCTGGCACATACTGGGTAAGCACTAGTTACATTTGTCACCTAGTTATAACTTTATATTCTTATCATGCAAGTGTGTGTGTGTGTGTTTTCCTTTGCAAGTCTCATTAAATCCATATGGAACAGAAGGTATTTTGCAGTGTAACCACTAGTTGCCTAAACAAATGCTAATTTCTATAAAACCATAAATTTAATGCAGTTTTAATAAGAGAAATTCAAAATTCTCTCAGTTAACTTTATATATATATATATATATACAGATATATATATATATATATATATATATATATATATATAAACAAAAACAGTAACAAAAAAATAGGTCACCATAGTAAAATATTCTAACCCGACTGTTCCTACAAACAGTGACTTCCACTAAATATAAAGAAAACTGTTATCTGTGGTAAAAAATCTAGAGACCAAGTAGAAATGTGGAATAAAAATGCAACAAACCCTAATCCATCCTAGGCAGAGCCTGTTGCTAAGGAAACACAGGCAGTGGTCTACATAGGAAACTGGGAACTATTGTGCCCTGGCAAGAGACAGTACTCTTTCCATGTTGCTGCAAGACACTGCTGTAAGTTTGCATCTTGCATAGGAAGTAGCTGTGTTGTTATGAGTGCTACAGCAAATGGTAAATGATTTGAAATGAAGCCCATATGTCACTAGGCACCTCATTTACTAACCCAAATCATCCTGATCAAATAGAATCCAAAAAAAAAAAAGAGAGAGAGAAAGGTATCAAAACAAAGTGCTTGCTCCTTGCAGGAGGCCCACCACCCCATAAGAAGTGTTTATGCCCTGAGAAGCCCTCTGCATCCAGGAGCACTCATGGGGAACTAACTGAGTGGATCCAAGTTCTTTCTCGGAAAGTCTAGGCACCACCAGCACAGACCATGCAGCTTCCTCAAGCTGCAGCTACAGTGGAGCTATGGAAGGCCCTGTCTTCAGGAGCCATGGCGCAGCTGCATGTTGCCCAGGACAGCACTGTCGTAGCGCTGCTCCACCCGCACACAGCTTGAGTGCTCCAGCACACTGCTCAGCTCAGGGATGCTCTCAGCAGTGTCCCCAAACCCATGGAAGTGTCCATAGTGCAAGTTCTCTCCCCCGTCCCCCACCCAGGACAGCCTGCTGGCCACACAACTACTTGGGCTCCCGTTCAGATGCAGAGACCCACACATCTCAGGGTTAACGCCCATGGTCTTTTCTGGCTCCTCAGTCCCATTAGCACACACAGAACCCTGGCCACTGGAAAATGGCTGTCCATTGCTAATTCCATTAGATCCTGATAAGCACGGGTTACTCCTGTTCTCCATCCCATTGAGCTGGGTCACGCAGGGGAAGTCCAAATGTCCATTGATGACACTTCCATTTGTCAATGTATTCAACACGGAGCTACTGTTTTTCACATCTGATACAGCAGCAAATTCTCCGTCAGCATGCATTCTGTCAGCGTCATCATCAGCCTCACCACCATTCGCTAGTGGCATGGTGTGATCCAGGCTGGGAACTCCGGTTCTAGCTTTCTTCACTCCCAGAGATTCTGAGTCTTCCAAGCATCTCTTTCGATTTGTTCCCAGGCTAATGTGATTGGGAAGCGTGTTCTCGTGAGCTTCACTCAAGGTGCCATTATGACAGAAAAGGCTCATTTGATGGTTCTGGAGGCTCAAGAGAAACTGGGTGCACTCTTGGAAACCCTGGGTTTGTGCAATGTCTGCTGTCGTCAGGCCACTGGCATTTCTCAGGCTCAACAGTATGCTTGTGTTCAGAAGGGAAGCCATACTGAACATTCAATGCCACAACCGTAAGGTTTCGGAGAAGCACCTATGGCATATTCAGCAGTTTCTATGTGAATGCTCCCCTTTCTAGGGTTACTTGAAAAAACCAAGTCAATTCGAATTACGCAGTCACTATGAGCCCCGTTCCCTCCCAGAGCGGGCCGCCTTATGAATGGGCGTTTCCCCCTCACAGTCCGGTTTGTTAATGTTGGCCCCAACCTGAATCAGCCAGACCACGACACTGAGGATGTCCTCCAAAAGCAGCAATGTGGGCTGGGGTCTGGGCATATCGGGTGGTGGAGCATTCAGTGAGGCGCCTGCTCTTATCAACTGGATTAAGCACTCCAACTTTCCGAAGTGCGCGGCCCAGTGCACGGGTGTCCAGCCATAGAAGGAGTCCTCCGCGGCCAGGTGAGCGCGCGGCGTGTGCGGCAGGAGCCAGCAGAGTGTGAGAAGGTATTTTAATTACTGAAATGAATTAAATATAATCAATTTCCTCAATTTGGATTATTTGCTATTTTGATTCATTGGTTTTCTGTGAAAAGGAATTAAAACTCTTGCTAGGTAAATTACCTGTTGCCTTATAGTATGCATCCATACATACTGATTGTTTGGCATTGTATGTTGGTATACTGGCACACACACACACACACACACACACACACACACACACACACACACACACATATATATATAGTGAAAATTATCCATCACTTACAGAAATTGAAAAAAGCTAATTGTTGGTGGCCTGTATCAAAAATATCACTTTTTAACATTTGGTGAATTAAATACAAAATTAAATAGAAGCTTGTGTACAAAATTTCCCTTGAAATATGCATGTATTTTGAAATGAGAATAAATGTACTTGATTAAAAAATAAAGATTAAACAATTTATACTGTGCTAATGTAACATATTAGATAAAAGAATACTAGTGGAAACACCCACATGAATTTCCATGGTTTATGTTAAAAGAATGCAAGCTGTTATGGCCAGAATTTGTGATGTCAGCGGACCACCCCCACCCCCGAGGAAGAAGCATGGTCCTGCCCAGCACCCGGGACTGACCAGGACAAAGAGACCCCCAGGTAGTCCCCAGGGTAGACTGCCCTGGACTCCTAGGAGATTATAGTGAGCAAATGCATAGTGTTGTATGGAAGAGAGAGTGGACAGAGGCATAGCTGAAGAGGTGAAAGTGGTGCCTTGGTGATGTCTGGGCCTGGGTTGCTCCCTGTTCACATTCTGTGTCGATGTCTGTGGCTCTTAATACCACCAAAGGTGGAGATGGTAGGACTAGACAGAGTTGGCCCTGCCCCTCACCAGCTGAAGCATTAAGCCGAGAGGGTCCTGCATCTCACCTGGGCAGCACAATAGAGCTGACGTATTGATGGCGTGTGGTTGAACCAGCCCTGAGAAAATGAGCATGGGCGAGCTGGTCCTGAAGGTATGAGAATGGAAGAGCAGGTTGCACCCCTCTCATCTGTCACATGGCGGCATGGGTGAGGGAAAGGTGCCCTATTCCCTTTGCCCCTGGACACCTGCAGCAGGTGGAGGACCTGACCCAACCCCTCACCAGCTGCAGCACTTGGGAGAACAGACTCTGCACCCTGCCTGAGCAGCACAGTAGAGCTGACCCTGTAGACAGGGGTGAGGGTGAGCTACCCCTGAGGGTGTGAGAAGGGCATAGCTGGCACCACCTCCCTCATCTGAAATATGGTGGTGGGGGTGAGGGAAATGTGCTATCCTGCCTTGCCCCTACTGCCTCCATCTGGTAGGGAGTTGAACCTCCCCTTTACCAGCTGCAACACTCAAGAAAGTGGGCACTGCCCTGCATCTGGGCAAGGTAGTGGAGCTGTCCCTGAAGGTGGAGGTGTGGGAGAGCCACCCCTGAGGGCATGAAAGCAGAAATGGCCCTGCTCCCTCCTCCTTGCTCCAAGGGATAAACTAGCCCAGGCAATGTTGGAGAGCACACCCTGGTGGTGAAGACAGAGGACAACTGGCAGGCTGACCAACACTCCAACTACCCAGGCCCAGAACCAGGGTCATGAGTTGGTCCACCTCAACATCCACCCCATCTATAATCTGCTGGAGCATGTAAAGGGACCAGTCATGCAGACCCAAAGCTTCAAGATCTCCATGATACAGGGCAAAAACAGGATATCCGAGAGGAGCCCCAGTGAGGGCCCAGCATCAATAGTGTAAGAGAAATCAGAGGCCTCAGACAAGGTCAATGACTCTTTGCAATGAGCACTTGCAAGTAAAGGCATATTGGATGAAAGGGTTCAATGTGTGACTCACTGTTTCACACTACAGCTTCCATGATGAGAACTTTCCTCTTTTTTTCTCTTCTTTTTTCTTTTTTTCCCCTTAAATTTTATTTTATTTTGGTGGGGGGCAGGTTGAAAGCACAGAGGGTAGACATGAAGGGATGGGGAAATGAATGGGATTGGAGTTGCATGGCATGAAAGACACAAAGAATAAGTAAAAAGAAAGTTTTTTTTTAAAGTGTTTGTGGTATCCTCTAGATTAATGTTGTGAGTGCTTGTTCTTCAGCTTGTGGCAGTGTTTTGAAGGCTGTGGAATTTTAGGAGGTAGGATGTAGTTGGTGGAACTAGATGACCAGAGTTAGGCCTTTCAAACTTATACTGTGGTGTGGTTCTTAACTGCTCTTTCTGCCTAGCCTGATGCCACCTGCAGGCTCTCTACCACATAGCTATTTGTGTGACCATGAAGCCTGTCATGCCTTTCCTCCCACAATTTAGAAATACTCTGAAACTGTAAGACAAAATAAGTCTTTTCTTCCTTAACTCACTCCTGACAGATATTCCAAAATAACAAGAAAAGAAATAAGTAATGTAGAAGGTATTATATTTGATCAGCTATGTATTAATTAAACCATGACTGATACCCAAATGTGTGTAAAAATGGGAAAGAAGGAACCTGTTGGCTTAATATAAGTGGATTTCTTGCATGTGGTGCAACTTTTCAAGAAAGCAAAGCATTTATTTATCTATCTATTTATTTATTTATTATTGTTTTGTTTTGGGTTTTTTTGGTTTTTCGAGACAGGGTTTCTCTGTGGCTTTGGAGGCTGTCCTGGAACTAGCTCTTGTAGACCAGGCTGGCCTTGAACTCACAGAGATCCATCTGCCTCTGCCTCCCAAGTGCTGGGATTAAAGGCGTGTGCCACCACCGCCTGGCCGAAAGCAAAGCATTTATGTGGCACAAAATATAGCAAAGGCAAGGAGAGAGAAGGAAGAATATGGGAACGTTAAGTTCTTAGAGTCTTGACTTTTTATTCTGTTAATAGTTTCATTTGATGTACAAAAGCTTTTAAATTCATGGAATCCTATCAGCCAATTCTTGGAGTTATATGCTATGCTGTTGGAGTAGTGATATGAGCACATCCCCCCACTAAAAAACAAATGAAAATCAGGGAGCTATATCTCATGAGAGTGGAACTTCTAGATGTTGATGTCAAAGATGCTATTGTAACCTGAAACATGACACAGGAGTCCCAAGAAATTGAGGCCATCTATCCACCTCAAAGACAGCAAACAGCACAGAAACCCGAGGATGTATAGCCCAGAGACCCAGGCTAGAAGTAAATATGGCTGACAAAAAAATAAAATAATAATAATGATCTTAAAAGTCAATAGACTGATTCCTCATAATATTCTGCTATACTCATAGATTGGTGCTTAGCCCAATTGTCATCAGAGAGGCTTCATGCAGCAGCTGGTGGGAAAAGATGCAGAGACCCACAGGCAAACATTGGTGGAAATCAAGGAACCCCTCAAAAGAGGGAGAGGAAGGACTGTAGGGGCCAGAGGGGTAGAGAACAACCAAGAACACAGCTCACAGAATCAACTAAGCAGGACTCATAGGGGCTCACAGAGAGTGAAGCAACAATCAGGGAGCCTCCATGGGTTGGAACTACATCCTGTGCGTTTGTGTTAGGGTGGTGTAGCTTGGTGTTCATGTGGGACTCCTAATGGAGGGAGTGGGGGATGTCTCTGATTCTTTCACTTGCTCTTGGGACCCTTTTCCTCTTACTGGGTTGCCCTGTCCAGCCATGATATGAAGATATATGCCTAGTCTTACTGTAGCTTGTTCTGCCATGTTAGGTTGATATCCCTGGGATGTCTGCTCTTTTCTGAAGGGAAATGGAGGAAGAGAGGAGTTGGGAGTGAGAGGAACACAGGAAGGTGAAATTGCAATCAGGATGAAATGTATACGAGAAGAATTTTTTAAAAAAAGAAGAGGATGTCAAAAAGAAGAAAAGGTCAAAGGACAGGAAATGATTTTAACCAAGATGGTGGTGCTGGTAGGATGGAAACTGAGAATCTCTGTTCATCTCCAGGGTACTGGAATGTGCTTTCAGTTTAAATAGGAGGAACTGAGCAGGATGTAAGGACTGCATCCTGCATTAACATGGCTATTAGCTCTGCTTTTCAAGGTGACTCTGGAGAAGTCTTGAAGTGACATTCAGATGATTGCTCTTGCTAGGGTGGGAAATCAAGAGGACTTGGGATATAATTTCTTCCATTTTAAGGGTAGTCTGTGAGACTAGTATTTCTGGAAGTCATGGTGATTTCAGATTTAGGAAAATGACTAGAAACTTGCAGGTATTTTCTTTTTTATCTAGAATATTGTATATTGTATATCAATATTGTATATCAATACTGACAATAAGATACCTCGTGTATTCTTATCTCTGTGCCCTCAGGCTTGAAGGGGGGTGAGACAGGTTAAAAATGACTCATTTTCAGACACCTCTTAGTTAACACCTATATGTCAATCATATAGTATCATATAGAATAAATTGGGCAATTATATGATCCAAAGTAAAAGGGACAGATACAAAATGAAGATAGAGATATCCTGCATCTATATTGGTTTTAGTTAGTTATCTTCGAGCTCAAGTGAGAGGCCTAGAACTTCTAAGTCCTTGCCATATTCCTACTCCATTATATCTACTTTGCTAATCTTCCATTTCTATCTATATATTCTTCACAGATTACAACATGTATTTAACAGAGGACCAATTAACATGTAAAACTATTGTGTTCTTATTATTTAAAATAGAAAAATCCACCACACTTTAAATTTCCTTTACATGAAGGGATGACTG